ATTGCCAATGCAATTCGAACAGATGAGACTGTCAACGTTCACCGCGAAACGCAAGTGGGCACACCGAATTACATGTCGCCCGAGTCGCTCCTAGATTCCAATGCGCCTCGAGGCGGCCGAGTTCCTGGACGACCCAAGCTGATGAAAGTTGGAAAGCCGAGCGATGTCTGGTCTCTCGGGTGTATTCTGTACCAACTGGTCTACGGAATGCCTCCCTTTGGCCACATCAGCAATCAAATGGCAAAGTGCCAAGCCATCATCAACTGGGACCACGACATTGAATTCCCGTCCAGGGCCATGGGTGGAGTTCCAGTACCTCCTTCTCTGCTGCGAACCTTGAGGCGGTGTCTCAACCGTGACGTCGACATGCGACCTTCATGTGAAGAACTCCTTCACGAGACCGATCCTTTCCTATACCCCAATGAGATGAGCGAAAAGGCGCTTCCCATTGACGAAGAGCTGCTTGGTAGAATCATCCAGAGCGTTGTCTCAAGGTGTCGAGAACGCATGCCGACAGATGCGGAGGCCATGTCTGTGTGGCCGTCGGCTTACTGGACCAGCGTCAAAAAAGCAACGAATCCAAGCAGATGATGAAAGCGTATGAGCATTGTTGTTGGATCAGGCGTCATGGAGACATTACTTGGGTTTAATGATCATCGGAATATCCATAGCTCGGAGTTTCTTGGGCTGTTTGTTTTACTTCTTGTTCAACTGCTTCGTGCAGTTTCTTCCCCACCACTGTTTTCAATATTGATTCCCTAGGCTTCGGCCTTCCCCCATGATTGGGCACGTTTTTTCTGGAGACGCAGACCTAGACAATGCGTCTTATCAATTGTACTACAGCCTCTTGGCTTCAACATTTTCGGCGACCATCAAAGTCCCCAATCCCATATGACGTGAATGTATTTATTTGTCTATTGGTACAGCCCCGACGGGGAACAATACAAGGACATGAAATCATACGATCCATGGCCTACTATTCCTGATTCATACTCGAACAAGCTTGCACACCCCCCAGCCCTGCCTCTTAAGCCTCAATCTCCTCAGGCGCATTGATCTTAAGCTCGCTAATCGTCAGCATTGTGTAGCGGTGCTTGCTCTTGACCGTCTTCACTTTCCGCTGCCTCCTTTTCGTCTTCTCCTTCATTCTCATCGGCTCGCTCTCCGTGCCCGTCACCACGGCACGGCACTCGTATACCCGCTCGTCGATGAAGGGTGAGCCCTTGAGGGTGTAATCTCTGCTACCGATGACCGAGGCACGGTTGAGGCGGAGGACGTCGCCAGGCACGACGCCAGGCATCTTGAAGGGCAGGCGGACGCTATCGCCGGGCTGGACGAGGTACGGGCGTCCATGGATGTGGAAGGTGATGTAGTGGTTGGGCTGGGCCGCTAGGAAGGGCAGCGCCGCCTGCACGGATTCGGAGATCGGGGTCGTTGCGGACGGCGTCGACGTCTGGGCGGCGCCGGCGGCGGCCTGTTGTGCTATTGAGGAGGCTTGCGCGCCGACGGGAGGCGCATCTTGTGCGGCTGCGGCGGGCTCAATGATGGGTGCCGTGGAGTTGAAGCGGCGGGCGTGGATCGGGAGGAGGAAGGTCGGCGGGAGGCGCGTGATGGGTGTCCTGAGCTCCAGGACGGAGCGCAGCAATGTGCGACTCATCTTTTGATTGATGAGGGTTTGAAATCTTTTGTTGTCGTTGGACAGAGAGACAGTCGGACCTCGTTTGTCGGTCCAATTGCTGGTCTCTCACGTTCGTCGACTTTAGCTTTCTGCGCGACTGGGACCCGGCCAACACGAAGCTTCAAAAAAGTTCGGATAGACCTGGAGTGCAGTTCCTCTGGGTGCTCGGAAAATATGTTGCTCCGCTGATGCAAGCAGGGATGTTAGCGGCTGGACCTCGAATTTTGGGGTCGGACCCCACATCGCTATCGATATGGGATTTTTTTTTGGCTACCCGCCACTTCGACGGACGACGACCCTGAGGAGCTTCGCCGACATCAACACGACGGACGACTAGACTTCGTCCAGATCAGTAACACCATCCTGTAAAATCGAAGTCGCTACGGGCGTAAATCACTCAAGATGCCTCAGGTGAGTAGCTTTCCCATTCGCAGCTCTCTATTCTTACCTGTTGTACTAACAAATCCGCGAACAGAACGAGGTACGACACGCCCTCAGAAGGGCCTCTCCGTCTCCCAATCTCGGCGCCCGCTAACGAAGAAATTATAGTATATGGAGAGATGGCGCAAGCTTCATGGTCGGAGGTTAGAATCTTGAAATCAACCAGGAATTTTGACGAGGGGAGGGCTGACATCCGACTTTTCTCAGACTCGATCACGAGGAGAAGGCCCGCAAGAAGGAGGCTCGTGAGGGCCACAAGGCGTCCAAGGATGCGCAGAACCTGCGCGGTCTCCGCGCCAAGCTTCACGCGAAGAAGCGCCACAACGAGAAGATCCAGATGCGCAAGCAGATCAAGGCCCACGAGGAGCGCAACGTCAAGACCAACGACGAGAAGGAGCCCTCCGAGCCCATGCCCGCCTACCTGCTCGACCGAAACAACCCGAGCAACGCCAAGGCCATTTCTTCCCAGATCAAGAACAAGCGTGCCGAAAAGGCTGCCCGGTTCCAGGTTCCTTTGCCCAAGGTGAAGGGTATCTCTGAGGAGGAGATGTTCAAGGTTATCTCGACCGGAAAGAAGACGCACCAAAAGTCCTGGAAGCGTATGATTACGAAGCCAACTTTTGTCGGACCCAACTTCACCCGGAGAGATCCCAAGCACGAACGGTAATCATTCCTACGCATTCGGCGCCAGCTTGGCAGTTTGAGGATCTTTGCTAACGAGGTGCTTTTCCAAAATCAGATTCATCCGTCCTATGGGGTACGTGACCGGAAGCGCTCTGTCTCCTCCTCCGTCTTACTGACAATGATCTCTAGTCTGCGTTACAAGCACGCGCACGTGTGCCACCCGGAACTCAACGTAACCGTAAAACTGCCAATCTTGGGAGTCAAGAAGAACCCTCAGAACCCTCTTTACACGAACCTGGGTGTCCTCACGAAAGGAACTGTGCTGGAAGTAAACGTTTCTGACATGGGCCTTACGACAGCGAGCGGCAAAGTGGTTTGGGGGAGATACGCCCAGGTGACGAATTCACCGGTAAGTAAAATTCCATCGAAAAGCGCGGCTATTTTGCTATTTCGATTGCTTCGTTTGGCTGCTTGGACGAGCCGGTCGTGGCACAGTGTCAACTTTTGTAAGACGAGAAGCTAACGCACGGTATTCTTCAGGAGAACGATGGCTGCGTAAACGCAGTCCTGCTCGTTTAGATGGAAATAGGAAAAAAAAGTCAAGGCTATCGCGCAAGGAGTGTCACATAATGGCATCGGGGCACAGCAGGGACGCCGTGCCTCTATCGAAACGTGGAGCGGAAAAGCCTATGAGGTAGTGGTACTTGGGGCAGTCGAGTCCCAGCTGGCGTTAAGGCGTTCTGTCACCTCGTGTAAGGGGGGAATGGGTGGATGCCCGTGAGTGACAATATGAAAAAATTTCAACCTAGGTAGATGAAACAAGATTCCCATTTGTAGACTGGCAAAGGACGACCTGAGTGACGAGGATGACTGCAAGGTATTCGCTGCTTGGGCTTTATTAAATAGGCCCCTTTATTACCCACGGCTAGCCAGCTTGATATCCAGGTATCACTCCCCTCAGCTCAAAATGGATTGGCCCTCCAAGGTTTCCACCGAATCAGACGCAAATTCGTCCCGCAGATCACATCTTGCATTGAATAGAACCGCATCATAGAAATTCTTCTCTATGGACAGTTATCGAGTTTCAAGCGATGCTTGCGACGAGGCACCGGTATCGAGGTCCAGGCTTCCATGGCGAGAGAACACGTTCTGGTCCGTCGAGTGGCCTACAGTCGAGGAGACGGGTAGTCAAGGGTGTTTGGTTTCCAGAGTGTAAATAAGTATAACGACGATGGGAAAGCAGGAAACAGGGAATAGCAAAACAGAAACAAAAATGAGCTACCTGTGGCTTTACGTAGGGTCACCAAATTCGAGCTCGCATTCGCTTGCCGAAACCAGGCATTCAAACATCCACCACTAGGGCCATATACACTTCAAGCGCCGCCCATGCCTTTCCCTTCGCTTTAGTTGCCTATTAGGGGTTCTCTCGCTTAGAATTAGCCCAGGCGACGGCTTTTGAGTCCTGAGAGTATTCACGAGGCAGGCATTCGATGGGTCTCCTGGTAAGTGGGTTCTAGTCGCACCTGATAATTCACAGAGAGACCTGCAAAGGCAAGCGTTACACTACAGACCATCAGGATCGAGTAAGCTTTGCATACAAATGCTTCCTCTCAGAGGCAAGATACATCTCCGAGTTCTTCTATACCATAACTTGGAGCCTCTACAGCAGGCGTTCTAGTTCAGAGACTAGTCCAGACCTAGTCCGAGGTCTTTCGCTGAGACGCAATCTCACCTGACGTCACTGTGTCGAAAAGAACATGCTTTCTATGGCGCCAATGCCAATATCAGAGTTTTTCCATTACAAGCATGTAAAGCAAGGCAAGGTGCCAGTATTTGATTCAGAATGTTGTCTCTCATTGGACTTTGATTTGTTTGGGATATATCCTTCAATACCTATCTTCCTCTCGATCCCTTCCCTTGGATTCGAACAAAGCAACAAAGATTGGCATGTGTGTGTAATGCGACCCGAACAGTTGAAAAAATGAAACAACCCGTCCCGTGTTCCCCGGTTTGTGACGAACGCAAAAAGAAAAGAGCAAAAAGTCAAGGAGACAAAGTTTTCAAGGGAAGTAGAAGAAGCTCCCTTGAAAGGCCTTAAAACGGAAAATAATTGCGAACCCTGATTCCTCACACACATCCCTTGAAGATCCCGAACTGAGAGGGAGTTGGGTTATCCGCTCTTTCCAGTTTGACCCCAAAAACGCCGAAAATAAAAACAAGTGACCACGAGTAAGAAGGGAAGAGATTTAAACTATCATTACTTTGATGATGTGGTGGTTCGAACAATACTGACGGTGAAGAAGAGCAAAAGCCACCTGAGCTTGGGAGAAAAAGTCGGAAATTGCTCTGGGCTGCGAAGACTTGAATAGGAGCGCCGAAACAGAGATGAAAAGGAGGGCTCGTTCAAGAGCTTTGGGTTAAGCGACCGTCGGCTTGGACGGATCAGATAATGCTGTGGCGATGCAAGGGAATTCTCCATGACTGAAATGATAAGCCCGCCTCGTGAGGCTGAGAAGGATGTGCTTGTCAACGCCGTACTTTTTGATGTTGCTGTTATTGCTGTCATGCGGAGAGAGAATCGTTCTGTGTTCTTCTCCGGTTTCATGTCGTAACTTTCGTTGCTGTGAAAGAGATACGCAATTTTCGTGTATGAATGCATTCGAGTGTTGAGAGCAAGCATGGCGGGTATAGTAGACTAGGTATTTAGCCGAGCTTTCGGAAGCCTTCGACAGTAAGCATCGGGACTTCCACATCGCTGAGGCCGAGAACGCCCTCATCGCGTCTGCGGTCGACGAAGCCGTTGCATTCGGCAACGACGATGCTCCACTCGGCCAAAGCACGACCGGCGTAAACGGCGCGCTTGACGTAAATTCCCGTTGGGCGAAGGGGTTGTGTAAGGGGCTCGGGGCCGGTCCTACGACTTCCGGACTTGGACAGGTGAGGCCGTTGCTGAGCCTGGAGCACGGCATGAGCCTGGGCCATGGCCTTGGATTGCGGGGGTTGGGGCGCAGACTCCGACGGCTGCTGCGCCTCCTCCTCGGTCTTGCTCTCGGTAGGCGATGAGGCCGTTGATGAGTCGGAAGACACTGATGAAGCAGATGACTTCTCTGCACTTTCGAAGTCGAAGGTCATCAGCTCCACGTTCGGGTTGTTCTCAAAGTCGAACTTATTGCTGAGCCTGCGCACGAGAGAGGATGACGACACCGCAGTGACCGAAGACTTGCGCTCGAGGGTAGGGGAGGCGAGAGGACTGGCGTTCTTGGCTTCGTCGACGAGGCCCTTCTTCTTAGAGCCAGAGACACACCGTGTGGGATCGGGAAGACCAGCAGCAGGTGGAGGAGGGGTGCTGCCGCTTCTCGAACGGGAAGTGACCCAGGCCTGCGCCGGGGCGGGAAGGCGTGGGCGAGTAAGGATGCGATCGCGAGGCTGGGTGACGGCAGGAGGCTGCCAGGTCAGCGTGAACTTGAACACGAACTTCTGCTCCATAAAGATCGGCGAGGTGCCCGGCGAGCTGCCGTCAGACGACGTCGTGACAGCTGAGGCCGATGAAGTGGAAATCTTGGGAGGCAGAGGCGGGCCTCCTTGACGGCGTTTGGAAAGAGTGGCGGACTTGGACGACGTCGTTTCCTTGCGCGAGGACTCATTATCCTCGCCATCTGAACCGTTACCACCCAAAGACAGCACCTTGCCAAGCAGAGACCAGCGCTTCTTGCTGTTATCAGGCTTGGCAACCTCCTTAGTTTCTGTCGCCGGCGTTGATGACATGACTCCCTCGCCATTGACAATCTTGGAGAACGAGTCGAAAGGCTGGTTGAAGTAGCCTGGCTGCGGAATGTTCACTTCCGTACGGATAATCATGAACTTCTTGCCCGGCGTGGGGAGGCATGGTGATGTCGAGGGCGGCAGCCTTCCTGCGGCATCGGCGGCGTTGCGAAGGAAGAGGTAGTGGGCCCAGACGGTCTTCAGTCTTGCTGCGGCAACAAGGAAGATTTCACTGTGAATGTCAGTAAGTCTTGTTGACTTGCGGGATATGGCACAACTCACGCATCAACTTCGTTCGCGCTGCCGCCGTCACGACAGATACGCCAGCAGAGCAGGCGCATGTAGTAGCCGCGCACCATTGGGCACCAGTGGTTGAAGTAGGTGTCGAACGTCTCCTCGGAAAGCAGCCAGTCCAGACACAAAGCCTTCTTCCGTACGGGATTTGCCGTGACTGCTTCCCAGGTCGAGAAGATGAAGGACAGGAGCCGAACTTCCGTCATAGCGTTGTCGGAGATGAGCATCTTTCTGCAGACATTGAGCCAAAAAGACCAGTCGATACTCTTGGCGATATTCGGGTTCTCGAGATCGTCGAGCTGGTCGTAAGCCACCAGTGCCTCTTCCAAGAAATCACAGAGCGTGAACACGGCGCTGTGGTCGAAAGCGGATACGCGGCGGGTCGCAGCACGAGTCACAGAGAGGAAGGCTTCGGCAAAGGTTCGTCTCGCGGCAGCAATGACTGGTAACGATTCGCCCAGAATATCCTTCAACAACACGATGAGGCGGTTCTCGGCCATGTTCTTCAACAAGTTCCCTGGGATTGTCATCGCGGTCGCAGCAGCATCGGCGCCGTAAAATGAATCTGTCGGCATGGGCGGGTTGTAAATAGCGTCGACTTCGGCCTGGCGGTGGATCGTGGACTCGATACACGCGAGGATCTGGGCCTGTACCAGTATGAAACCTGGCGACCGCGCCTTCTCAAGCAGAGGGAGGCCTTCGGGCATGAACTCCTCAGATAGAATGTGGTAGTACTTGCAGAAGATGAAAAACAAGTCAGTATCACCACCACGCCATCGCGTCACCCAAGGGCTAAACCAAGGGATCCTCGCCGCCATCACGGAAAGCTTCACTCGTTCCTTAAAGCGAGCACTGATTGTCTTTTGCGATTGCCAGCCCAATACGCCCACATTAGGTGGGAACAGGGCCATGATGTCCTCGCTCTCGCCGCCATTCTTTTTGGGCAGTCCAAACTCGTCAGCCGTCCTTCGAATGAGCTCAGGTCGCAAATCCCACAATCGCACGAGGATCTCGGCCACAGACGGGCAGAAAAAGAACGCGTATGCGCACGCCTTACCGCACCAATTGACGAGACTGAGAGGTGCGTGTCGAAGCGACATCTTTTCCACCACAATTTGCATCTGCTTCATGAGGTTGCTCACAAACATGGTCCGCACATTGTGCTCGGCGGATTCGGCGAGGAAAGCTTGGCTCGATGCCTGTGATGAGTCTGCTGTGGACTGGGTCCCCGATCGCGGTCGGACGCGTTCGTTTGGTGAGCGATCCACCAACGACATGAAGTACGTCGTCGTCTGTCGCCATTCTGGTCTCATCATCAGCATCGTCAAAGCCTCCAGCAAAACCGGCCGATCAACGCCTGGGAGCTGCTGGCCCTGGCCGTCCAGCATATCCAGCAAACCAGTCCACCACTTGTTCAGCACAATGGCCCTCCGCTCAACATCTTCCAGAATGAGTCCCTTGTTGGTGATGTGGTTCATATAGGTCCGCAAAAATGGCAACAATGTAACACGCACAGAGTGCATGCGCTGGGCCATGGTTTTGGTGGCGAAGCTTCCACTCTCGGTGTCGAGCGACCGGAAAACCGACCAGATGGTATCCTTGTTGGCTGACATTTCGCTCGTCAGAGACTCGTCTGTTGCTGTTGTTTGGGATTCGGCGAACGAAGCTGGTTTCGACTCGGGCTTTTTGATCTTATTACTATTATTGTTGCTGTTGTTTTTGGTCTTCTTGCTGGGCTGATCGCTCTCAACAGCAGATTTGGGCGGGGGCAAGCTTAGTGATGATGGGGGCAAGGCATTTGTATCGATCTCGTTGTTTGATCCAAGGGTAATGAGCATGCTTTTCGGTCGCTGCTTAATCTTTGTCAAGAAAGTGCTGGTTCTGTTCAGGGTGCGTGCAGGCTTTAACGATTCGGCACTCTTTGAAGCGGCAGTCTCTGTGTCGACTAGCATAGATACTGGCCTCTTGCGGGTCGAGTCCACACCCTTGATGTTCTCGTTACTCGGGGCCCTGCTTCGGGAAGGGCGAGAAGGCGGTGGAGCTGGAGGGTCTGGATTTCGCTTCGGGGACGGGGAACGGGATGTGGACATCCATGACTTCTTCGCAAAGGTAGCAAAACTCTCCGAGACCGTCCTGGGGCGTTCTGGCTCGAGAGGTCGTGTCGGCGGTGTCGGTGCTACGGGGGCGGCAGACGTCGCAGCAAGAGGTGCAGTGCTCACGTGGTCTCCGGCATGAGTGCTGGGTCTTTCGGGCATGGCGGGTCGTTCGGGCACCGGCGGCTCCTTGAACTTTGACGGCGATCTAGATGTTGGTAGCCAAGATTTACGACGCTCCATCAACGAAGCCCTCCTGCCCCTCTTCTGCAGCTTCTCGGCATCTTTGTCCTTTTCCTTTTGCTTTCCATCTCTCGTGTTCTCCTTGTCCTCCTCTTTTGGAGGTTTTAACAACATGGCCGGGTTTGGTCGTGGCGCGGCTGCTGCGGCTGCGGCTGCGGCCGCCTGCTCTTTAGCAGCAGCTTCCTTGGACTTGCCGTCGAGGTAGAGGTTGGTGTTGAACTCGGGAAGGGTGTCAAATGAGGGAAGCTCGAATGCAGCTCGTCCCTGCACGCTCGAGCCTTTCTGCTGTGTGGGAGCTGTTGTTGTTGAAATTGTAGACGCTGCTGAGGCGTTGTTACGGTCGTCGGAGGTATGGGATCGGTGTAGGTAAGAACCATTAACTGGTTGGACAACGGCCGGAGCCATCGTCAGCGTCGGGCCTTTCATCTCATGGCAAGTCGCACCAACACAATTAGAGAGGATTCCTCTGCCAGTACACACTGGTACAGAGACAGAGACAGAGCAGCAGGTGCAGGTGTCGGTGCCCGTGCCGAGCTCTGGAGGGCTGTTATTTGCGATCGCGCGGGCAACAGTGACCTAGAGCATGCAGTTGCGACTAGGAATGCAATGTACGAGGGTCGATTTGGGTTGGGTAAGGGAGGACGGCCGGAATGCTCGGTGTGTCACGGTGGCACGACGTCTGCAGTCTCCCAAGTTAAGGTATGTAGTAAGGCGGCCTTGTGAGATAAGGTGTGGTAGAGTCAAGTTAAGGAATTCCCCCTCAATTGGACATGACAAAAAAAAACCTGGGGTGTGTACAGGCAAGGAAAGGTGTTTCTTTGGTTTTGGGTTTGTTGGCGATCGGTATGGTGAGGTATGCTCTGGGCCGGCAGAGGGAGGGAGAAAAAGATACAAGGCGGCAAGTGGACGGGAGGGTTCGTTCGTTGAGGGTGGGCGATCCAGGGTGTGGATAATGAGATATGAATAGTATCCGTTCGGGGTCCGTAGGAATAAACCGTTCAGGTTCTCGAGACAAGAAGGAACAATCGCGGCGGAGCCGTAAAACGAGCGAAAAAGGAACGAACGACTGGTGGTGAGGCGAGGCAACCAGCTGCTTCTCTTGCGTCCCTTCTCAGGTATAAACCTTGATCTGGGTCTGTCTGGGTCTAGGTCTTGTTACTCGGTGGTGGTTGTGGTTGTGCTGGTGGTGGTTGAGCGGGTTGTCTGGGTTTTTGCTTTCCTGGTTCGTTGCAAGGTCCAATCCAGCGGCAGCGTCGTCGGGGATCAACTGTCGACGCAAGGACAACGC